TTGTGACGTCAGAATCATCAGCATTTCAAACTGCATTTTTGAGACTGTCTTTGGTTCACTGCAGTTTTAAGGAGAAAATACTCAGCAATGGTGTTGAATGTATTTGTACATGGTTTGTCTTAAAGCACATTAAAAACACCACATAGACATAAATAACATTCAAAGCTTGATTTTAAGCTTAAACATAATCGTTTAATGCAGCTTTATTTGGGCTGCTCAGTAAAACTAGATTTCCTGTCTTATACTGACATCGTATGGTTATATATTTGAATTGCATGACCACGATACTGTGTGTCTTCTATTGTCCAGTGTCTCTAACAACATAGCCTATCTCTAGATTCTGAGAATTCAAATATATTTTCTTATTTTAAATACACTGCGTTTAACATCTTGTAAGCAGTAATGAATTTTTAAAGAAATCAAACCATTTTACCATGTGAATGGCAGGCATGTCTCTATTAAAATGAATGTATAGCATGGACTTGATGTTTTGATGCTTTTCTGAAGGTTTTTGGAAATATCAGAAAGCAGGTAAAAGGTCAACTATCCATACCTCGAACAAAGAAAACGATTTTCCTTAGAAGGATTCTGCAGGTCTGAACAAAACACCACTTCCTCGTTGACTATTCCAGATAATGCACGTGACTCGGAAGAACGAGGAAACCAGATTCACCTTAGGGGAAATGCACTCTCTGCTGTTTTGGCATAGTGCCTTCACTCAAAGTGTGTGTTATTCCAAGTCATCTGTGCTCATACATATTACCTTATTTCTGTTAAAAACAAAATTCAAATATAACTTAAAGTCCCTGTCACCAATTCTATGGATAAAAGCCATGATAATTTTTGTATACACAATTCGAGTGCCTTGGAGTATTACTTTGATTTTGAGCATAATTATCCCAAGCAACCAAAGAGCACCGAGATTTCACGTGCAGCACTTCAATTGCATTTTCTGCTGTATTCACATTCTACAATTCATTACAAAATGTGGACTGATTACTAGCAGTGAAATGAGATCCTGACATATGACACTATTAACAGATATTAACAAAAGTTTGACTCGATCCATTTTTCATATATTAGTAGGCCTACACATCTGGACCTCTGACTACTGCATGTGATTAGGCTATAATGTGGATTATCTTTAGTTGTCTATATACTGTAGAGTAGCCTACTACTGATGGGTACTAAGCGTTAGTTATGTTAATGGACAGGCCCCATTTTAATGTTTGCTTTCTTGTTCTCTTGTTCCCTTTTACAGGCACTTGAGAGCCCTGGAGGTCTGAACCCATAGTGCCCCCACTGTATTACACTGCTCAAAAAAATAAAATAAAAACATATCAGATCTCAAAGTATGTGTATGTTGTCAGTCATTGTACATTAAGGTTGGAATTGAGTGATGCTTGGCATTGAAATGATATCAAAATATGTCAATAAATTGATGTAATTTTGACATCAATGTTTGATGTCACATTTATGTTGAATTGATATCGAAGCTTGGTATTGAATGATATCAAAATAGCATTAAAATGACATCAACATCATGACATCTTGACGTCAAATAAATGTTGAATTGGCATCAAATGCAAACAGCATGACATCAAAATAACATCAAAATGACATCGGCAGAGGTCAAAATCTTGACATCAAATTGACGTTGTCACTTTGACGTCAATTTGACTTTCATTTTTGAAGTGAATTCACGTAGTGTAACAGCGCAGCGCTACATCAGAATGTAAGCTCACTATTGGCCAGCGCATCACACTCATGACCAGCGTCGGCCAATAGTGAGGATCTCGTATTTGCCTATATTTGCATGTACATTTTGCATTTTGCCTGTCATTATTTATTATTTTGAAATAGCCCAACTAAAACTTGTACAGTCAATTCGGTTTTTAACATACATTTTGAAAATAAAATAGTTTAAAAATACTTATTTCAAAGCCACCAGGATCATTTTGTTGTGTGTGTGGTTTTAAATGGTTCTAAATATCATTGTAAATTTGTGTGAATACATTTAATTGCAAACTTATAGATCATGATTTCTGCACATATTGTAGGCTAGAACGATTAGTGAATTAGACTAGACCCAATGTTTATCTTTAAACACAAAGACCTTCTCAATATAGCACAGCGGCACTGCATGTCAGTTCTTCTGAGAATTTCTTTTTCTTTCCAGTAAAACAAACATTTATGAGAAGGAACTCATAGCCTTAAGCAGCCAGATTCCATATAGGCACGTCTTGACATTTTCAACGTCAATATGTCCATTAAATGTTCCCATGTTGCCAGTGGTGACAGTTTACAGTTCCTGCCTTGTGGTGTTGTGTATAGTGACATCTGGAACAGTAGCTCCAGTTGGAGAACATTTATTGGCAGGTGTCTCTGTAATTCAACACTTCTGCTCTTTGTTTGACTAGAGTGGCGTTTTTGTCAGTTATCCGACGGTTTTTATTCAAAGTGACTTACGGTAGTACACAATTTAATCCTTCAGCACACTGGAAGGAAACCAGTAAGACTTAGTTGAAATACATGATGCAAGGCAATACTCACATTCACATTATTACATAGATTAGTTAGATTAAGGTGTTCAATAGCTGTACACATATTGTGGTCTTTATGATTCAGGTTCCCTCGTTGAACGTATAATTTAAGAAGGGGGAATTTAGGTTCCCCTTCCATATGTGAAGCACTATACCATAGGGCTTAAAAGTTTCAGTTTTGATTCACTGTTCCAGTTTTGTTCACAATGCTTCACAGAACAGAATCCTAAAACCTCTGTGGCTTATTTATATGATTTTGAGTGCTTTTCTTGTGCTTTTGGGTCAGTAGTGGTGTACGTCTTGGAGTTCTGGCATGGAACTCTTTTGCAGTCATTCGAGGGTTTTTCTGAACCTGCCTTCTCAGAAATCTTGTTGCAGCTGTCGATAGCTTCCTTTTTCTGCCCCGTCCAGGTAGTGTAACCACTGTTCCTCTAAATGTGAACTTGCAAACTATGCTTCCAACGGTGTCTCTAGGAATATTTGGTGCCTTCGCCATCTTATTGTATCCTGTTCCTTGTTTGTGAACGGTGATGATATCTTCTCTTAACTTTGTGGACAATTCTTTTGACTTAGCCATATTTCGAACATTCAGTCAAAGTAACACTCAACAAACCAAGCCAGTTTAGACATTTCATGTGTTCTAGCTCAAGCACACCTGGTGCAACTAATGAAGCCCTTGGTCAGTTGCACTTGAAACAACATCTGTTTTGCAGATTTGTGGTGGTGTGAGGGATTCTATTCAAGGGGTTGAATAATTTTGAGACTGCAGAAGTCATTTAAAGTTGCATTTTCAGTTGAATTTGGGGAAACCACTTGAAACATTTGTTGTGTTGACCCATTTCAATTACTTTTGTTTGATTTGTTCATTGCAAACAGTTGGAAGTCTGTACATTTTGTCAATAAATCTGATTTGCAATGGGGGTTGAATAATTTTGATTAAAATATTAGTAGTGTAAGATGGTGGTTTCATAGAAATTCAAGATCCAATTTTGTTTTGAAAAAACAAAAATATTGTTTACAAATCCATACTAAAAATTGCTTTATTAAGGAAAATGTATGCATATACACCACATTAAGCTCTTGTATATTTCAGCTACTTAGAATGAGAATTTTAGCGACAGTTTTAAACATTTCTACAATATTGTGCTGGAATTAACACAGACAAAACCAATCACACATCTTTGGTGAGTTGTCAAATATGTATCATTCTGCCACAAAGGCACAACATGGTAATTTCTTTTAACACAGTTATAGTAATATCTTCTTAAATTGGCCATTATATGGACTCTTACATTTCTGCAGAACCATAACTGTAATCAGCACTTAAGCTGCATTCTTGCCATAACAATTTTTTTTTTTTTGACATACAAGTTTTTAGCATGCACATATAATTCAATACCCTATAAGGACTCATTCAAAAAGAAACATTTGTAAAATAATAATAAAAAAACACTCATTCTGTCTATGCCTTTTAGCAACTGAAAGTTATCAGAAAAGCAAGCCTATATAGCACTCACCAAAAGACACCAAACTCACATCACCTAGTCTAGACATTTACACAAAGTCGTAAAACTACACACCAAAAAAGGTTAAAGAAAGGCCACGTGTTGTCGCATCTATGCGCAGGGTTCGACTCTATTTCAGTTGCATTGTAAAATTCCCAGAGTAAAATGAACAATGTGTTGTTCTGGTCTTGCAGCTGACAAAACTATACAATACTTCTAACCAAAAGTAGGCAACAAAGCTGACATCACTAGTCTTAGAATCCCTGGCACACAAACACACAATCTTTTGCTGCTACATCACTGAACTGCATGCACAAATACTGAGCTCAGATTACTGTAAGAACAAAAAAAAAGGAAGAGTTTTATAGGAGCTGAGAGTGTGAAGTGGGCTTTTGGCCTGATGCATCAACATTGCAAACACTTACTGATACAGTAAACCTGAAGAAGGATCATATTTACATTCCGGGACACTGAGAAATACTAAAACTTAAGTGCCTGGTTGGGGCTTTTGGACTTCGATCAAGAATAAATAACTTAAAAAGTGAAAGCACATATATGATTCACTTATAAACAAGACATTACTGATTGTATTCTACATTATATGCAAGAAATCCTGTTTTCCCGTAGAGTAAATGAAACAGAATAAACATAGGCTAATCGACTCACATGTAATGCTTCATATGGCTGGCATTACTAGAAAAGTTCAGACAGAATATTTCTCAAACATGTTCCCCCTCCCCGATAAATGTCATGATAGCCGCAATTTCTACTACAAAATACAGAAAATAATTAATATCACCAGAAAACATGCATACATAAAGCAATTTTAAAAGAAACACTATACTTTTTGGTGCCTGGTGGATTTTTGTTCACTAAATACCCATTAGACATGGGAGCTTAACAAAAAGTGGTTCCTGCACACAAACATCTGGCTGAATCTTTTCAAACACACTTCCATCACAACTGAACACTCTCTCGACCAGTCACAAATAATCACACCTTTCACACATTTTAAACAACCACTGACACCATACATTAAAATACAATAGAAAATTCAATAATAATAATAATAATAAAGTGGAAAAAATAAATCACCAATTGAGGAGTTTAACCCGAGAGGAAGACCCAGATCACAGAGAACGGGAGATCGGAGACTAGCTAAAATTCACAGCTGTGAATCAATTTAGAAACATTTGTGTAACAGTATGCAAATCTATACAAAATCTGTGTGATGCTGTCAAACTGATTCCTGAAGGTAGAATGTAAAACAGTTAGGGTTGTGTATTTGTCAGTTTAACGGACAGCTCTTAAAGCTTGTGAACTTAAGGGGTTGGGACAAACCGTACTTATCTACCTTACCTATTGTAATGCTCCGTTATCTATAATAAGGTTCAGTTTATCTGCGTCCCTGTAGTGAGTGAGCTTTTTAGTATCATGAATGGTAGAACTTCTCATTGTAGCGGTGAATGGTGACGCAGCCGTGGTAAGAAATGGGGCGGGGCATAGCGGCCACGCCCGTGATGATGCCTGTGGACGGGTCGTAGCACAGGATGTTGTCTGACGCCTCGCCGTTCTCACCACGCCCACCCAGGATATAGATCTTGCCGTTACATACCGACATACCGCAACTTTCCTGAAAAACAGAAACATGCAGGTCTGTTTACACAAGTGTGTCAACTGAGTGTAACAGAAGGGTTTCAATAGAGCATTTTCTCCACAGAGAAATATTTTTAGTGTAAACATTTCAAGACAGATCTAAGGTGGTTAATGGACTAATATTTCACTAGTTCACACTTACAAATAAGTTAGATAGAATAAATGGTATGCATATTTGGCGTGCTGTCCGGGGAGAGGGCTCCGGGCTCGGATATTTGGCCCAAACCCAAAGTACTCCCCCCGTATTGCTGGTTTAAGTAGTAACCAGGTGAGTGTGAGGAGACGGGGTGGTGGAGGGATGCTGAAAAACTGTCGAAGAACATTGGTGAGTCAAATGTGTGTATATATATATATATATATATATATAGGTCTCCAACTCGAGCTGATTGGATAGACATGTTGATTACTGATGGTCGATAGCTGGTTGGAATGATGTGATAATTGGATCAATTATTTGAACGTGCTCCTCCCGAACTTTGTTAATAAAACATCATTTCACTAGTTCACACTTACAAATAAGTTAGATAGAATAAATGGTATGCATATTTGGCGTGCTGTCCGGGGAGAGGGCTCCGGGCTCGGATATTTGGCCCGAACCCAAAGTACTCCCCCAAAAGTTGCAATAAATGTGGGACAGCCACCAGAAATGATGTTGATGACCCCCCAAAAACTTGCAGAGTGTAAGCTTATGGTGCCAATCATAGGGAGGAAATTTTGTCGCTGGATGGGGAGGTCTTCTTGCATCGTCAGAAGGGAGTTGATTGTCGTGGCATCAGATGGGTGGCCTCGCTGATGACGAATTGGATGGAGAATTGAATAGTCGTGGGGACGGAGGAGGAAACACTGCTGCGGCAGTGAAGGCGAGTTGGATGGAGAAATGGAGCTCCTGCGGGAGCGGAGTAGATGACACTGCTGCGGCAGTGGACAAAACTTGCTTTCGATTTGCTTTCCAACAATCCTTTGGACAGAGAACTGAGCTCCTGCGGGAGCGGAAGAGAATGCTGCTGCGGCAGTGGAGCAAGTTTGGACGGAGAAACGGAGCTCCTGCGGGAGCGGAGTAGATGTCACTGCTGCGGCAGTGGACCAAACTTGCTTTCCGACTATCCTTTGGACAGAGATCTGAGCTCCTGCATGAGTGGAAGAGAATGCTGCAGCGGCAGTGGAGCAAGTTTGGACGGAGAAACGGAGCTCCTGCGGGAGCGGAGTAGATGACACTGCTGCGGCAGTGGACCAAACTTGCTTTCGATTTGCTTTCCGACTATCCTTTGGACAGAGATCTGAGCTCCTGCGGGAGTGGAAGAGAATGCTGCTGCGGCAGTGGAGCAAGTTTGGACGGAGAAACGGAGCTCCTGCGGGAGCGAAGTAGATGACACTGCTGCGGCAGTGGACCAAACTTGTTTCCTGAACTCAACTGTCCAAAGTAAGTTGGACTAAGAACTGGGCTCCTGCGGGAGCAGAAAAGATAACGCTGCTGTGGCAATGGTGCAAGTTTGGACGGAGTAACGGAGCTCCTTCGGGGGCGGAGTAGATGACACTGTTGCGACAGTTGAAAACTTGCTTCCGACTTGCTTCCAAGTATCCTATGGTGAGGTGAATGGAGAATTGAGCACCTGCTGGAGCAGAAGAGATAATGGTTCCGCGGGAATGGAGCGAGTTGGAGTAAGAAACAGAACTCCTGCGGGAGTGGAGATGACGACACTGCTGCGGCAGTGGGTCAAACTTGTTTTCTGAATTCAACTGTCCAAAAGGTAAGTTGGACATGGAACTGGGCTCCTTCGGGAGCAGAAAAGATAATGCTGCTGCGGCGGATCAAGTTTGGATGGAGAAATGGAACTCCTGCGGGAGCGGAGTAGATTATGCTGTAGTGGAAAGACTTGGTTCTGACTTTCTTTCAAATTATCCAATGAGCCATTTGGCTGGAGAACGAGCTCCTGATGAAAAGGAAGAGATGATACTGCTGCGGTGTTGGAACCAAACTTGCCGCAGTAGTTGTAGATGTGCAGGTAATGATAACGTTGTCTTGAGCATCCCCGGGAGTTAAGATTATGGCAGACTTGATCACGAGATTTGGAGGTGGATTTAAAATCTTTGGATGGCGAGTCGAAAAGTACTGGTCGTGGGATGTAACTGGTAGATTTTCCCTGGGATGCAACTGGGCAATGGGGAGATGAAGGGTTAACCGGAGGACAGTTTATGGTGGAGTGAGCGAGTGATCTGTATACTGCACAAGAGATGTTGCGGAAAGTAACTGAAAAAATCGCCTACTTCTATTTGGCGATCTGAAGCGGATTGAGGAAGTAAAGATAGCAGGGAAGATAAATCAATGTCAGCACCTGAGAGGATCTGTGTTCTGATGTTGTTGGCTACTGGGGTTGGTTCCAAGGCTGTAGCGTTTGGAGGGATGGGCATCGCTGTTGCGTCCATGCTCACTGGACGGGAGAGAGTAGAGAAAAGTACACAGTACGTCCGCTGGGAGATCCATGCTCGCTGGACGGAAAAGAAACGTAAGTGCTCTACCGGAAAAGTTCTCGCTACGTCCGCTGAAGCTGCTGAAGTTGCTGCCCCGATACGGAAGGAGTGACTTGAGAAATTCTTTGCTGAAATTCCTGACTAATGTAGAACGGATTTGAGGTGTTTCTGGAACCAAAAGCGTGTCACGGGTTTATTGGATTCGTCTATGAACAGGGGTTCCAGAGGACATTTAGCCAGAGAACTTCTCCGTTGCAGATATGCCAGAATGGACTGGTATGGTTGGATTGGTGATGAGAGGTTAAAAATGTAGATGAAATGACCTTTTTGGTTTGGTTGGTCTTACTTTGCTTAATCAAAAATAAGACTGTTTCACCATCTAGTACTGACTGAGTCTGAGATGGTGGGGTGGATTTTTGGGTCGAATTTGGAAGTGATGGCGAGTTCCGAGCATCTAAGAAAACCAAAGGCTAAGATAAACATAGCGTAGAGTGTGCGGGCTGTATTGAGGGGCTGGTAGCCTGTGCGGAGGACATGAATACATTTGGTGAGAATGTCTAGCGTTATGGGTTGTCTGGCGTCGGGACGGGTGGGCTGGGATCTTTGAATCCCTTTGATCAGGAGGGAGGTTTGTGAATTGTTTATCTCAGAGGAGGGAGCGCCGTACATCAATTTATGGAAAAACTGAATGCCGCTCAAGTAACCTTAATGGACCCGACTTGTAGGCCCTTAACGCTATTAAGCTAGGAAATAAATGAGGTGATCGAAAGAAGAGAAAAATCGGGGAACGGCATGTTATAAGAGACATGGAATGCTTTAAAACATCTCCAAGCGGTCAGGTAGGATTGGAGGGTCCTGGGAGAAACTGCTTGGAGGATGGTGTTGAGTGATGCGTCGAGGAGGGGTTTTAACGGGTGGGTTATGGGAATATCAGTTCTAAATAGCGGGGAATTGGAGTTGGGAATTGGTCCATCTCTGGAGCCAGTGTCCTGGATTTCTGAGAGGATCTGAGCGCGGATGCTTTGAGACGCTGGTGGTGGTTCCATGGCGACGGCGTTGGACGGAACGAGCATCGGTGTTGCTGTGAAGAGAGAATGTTGTGGTTTAGTTTGAATGAGAGAGCTGGGAAGGGTATAAGCCATGGCTGTGAATGTCGGCGGCGGCCTCACACTTAGATTACCATGTGTGGCTTGGAAAGGGAAATTAGTTGGAGGATAGAAAAGGAAAGGAAGGACGATAGAATGAAGTGTGGGGTTGTGCTGCAAGCCGAAGCGGGCTCACGCTTATTTGAGCTACTGGAGCTGCAGGCCACGTGAAGTGGGCGGGGTTATAACCTGTTGGATAAAACTGTTGAAATGGTTGGGCCTGTGCTGCTAGCGGCGATAGCCTCGCGCTAGTGTCTGCAACGGGAGCTGGAAGCAACTGAAAAGAAAAAGGGTTATGAACAGCGGGAGTATAAAACTGAGAGCTGTGGGGAGGCCGCTGGGTCCAGCTGCAAGCGGCGCTGTGGCCGTAGAAGCCGCGGTGAAGGGCTGGGCCTCGTCAAAAGGTGGGAGTGGATTTGCCACGGCAAAATCTGGGGCGCGGCCCTGGCTCGCTGAAGGCCTGTTGCTGCAGCTCAATGGGCGAAGACTGGCCTTGACATCTTGGCATGCGCAGGGCTGTTCTGGCAGGTGTGCGGCCGCGTGAAGAAGCCTGGGGCTCAGGTGCGATGTCTGGCGTTGGAGGAATAGTCCTGGGGCCGGTGTTCTGATGATTCGGATTCATGTTACCCATCAAGATGTGCTACTTACTGGTTATGCGCATGTGCAGACTCAGTTTTCTTCTGCGTTACCACGACCATAAATCTATGCATCCTTGCTGTGGAGACTTGTAGAAAAGGTGTACTTTGACAGGTCAAAGATGACTATTTTATGATAATTTTTCATACCGTTTAAAAATAAAAACAGTACAGTACTCATACCTTTATAAATTTTACTATAATTCTATTTCATTTAATATACAATAACGTCATTTTTACTTGTTATCAAATGTGATAATTGCTAGTTCATTTAAAATATCAAATATGCTCCCCGTACACTTACCCTGTTTTAAATGAAATAACGAAGTCATAATATTGTGAGATTTATACCATTATGGAAACAATAGAGAATGAATCGACATTTTCTGTGATCGATTCGCGCTTGGGTAGCATTTCCGACAAGGCAGCACAAATCGTCAGAACACCGGCGAAAAAGCAACGGCGGATCCCTGGGGATGTTTGTTTCCTCGTCAGATGAAGAACTTTGGTGTGACATGGTAGCAAAACGGCGAGCCAAGATGCTGAAAAACTGTCGAAGAACATTGGTGAGTCAAATGTGTGTATAGGTCTCCAACTCGAGCTGATTGGATAGACATGTTGATTACTGATGGTCGACAGCTGGTTGGAATGATGTGATAATTGGATCAATTATTTGAACGTGCTCCTCCCGAACTTTGTTAATAAAACATCATATACTCCTGTAGATG